GAGCGGGCTGACTTCTACAGAAGTCTTCTTGCCCACCTGCTTCTCAAAAGCCTCCTTAGGAGTGGGCGTCTGTGGTGAACACTCACAAGGGAACACGGTATGTTGGAACCCTGTGCCAGAGCTACCAGGAAAATGTAATTTATAGCCATTGATACCCTGTCATAAGGGGAGATGTAGAAGAGAAGTGGAAAAGGCCTCCTGGAGCCAAGGCCCAATTTTTAACGTGCACTTGAGGTCCATCTTGGGACCACCTCTCTCCTTTCCCCTGGCTGAGATGTTGATGGGAGACTCCTGATTCTAATTCTAGCTCCCTTGCCTACCAGCTGTGGTGACCTAACTTCTGTCTCAAACCTCAGTTTTCTCGTCTGTTAAATGGTGATAGTAATGGCACCTACCTTGCCCTATTGTTGTGGGGTAAGTCCTCAGCATTCTTCAATCCACGTGTCCATGAACAGTTACAATTGGTTCCCAATGGCCAGACCTTAGGATCACTCTGGGAGTGTGTCATAGTCCATTAGGTGAGTAGGAGTTCTTATAAAGTGAGGATTAGCGGGAAGGGCTTTGGTGATACACTCCATGAGGTCCCGCGGGGAGCGGGTGGCTCTCCTAACTGCTGAACTGGCTGGTGCTGGGCAGAGCGGCTGGCATGAAGCACCTGTTGAACGAACGGATGGACGCTGCAAACGTAAGATGATGATGCCCCCAGGCCTCGTCCTTCCTGCCTCGTAAATGGCCTTGTAACTGTGGAAAGGGAAGGGGTGCTTTGGTGTGGGGCCTGTTCTAGGACTGAGTGCAGCCTGGGCCGCTTACCAGCCCCAAGACTCTGGGCGAGTCAATTCGCTGTTCCTTCTCCTGTAAATGGAGCCGGTAACTTCCACCCCCTCCCCGAGCCCACCCTGGAAGAGGAAAGGAGATGGTCTTAACCCCGGGCGCCCGGAGACCCCGGGGAGCTGCCCACCGCCCGCGGATTCTGACCTGCACGGGGTCCCGGACTCGCCCAGGGGCCGCGGTGTGGCCCCCGGGGCCGGGACACGC